CAGATCAATAACAATAATAGTATCATTTAGCATTCAAAATTCTATCATTTTCCAAGAGCAAATATCAATCAAGCATCATCAGGACATGACTATGGTGTTCAATACCATAGGAATAGGATTGAAAAAACAAAACCAACCAATTTAAGTGGGATTAGCCAGGAACCCAAGGATAAAATTGCCTAGTGGTGTCATTTACCAAACATAATCTTACAATGATTGGTTACCGTTAACTTCAATAGAATTCTATGAAGCATGGCTAAAATCAATACTACTAACCAAAGGGAACAGAAGAGCAAACGACTCAATATCGACAAACCAATTACTATATTAGTAGCTCAGAAATAAGAAAATTCTTTTTTTACATATAATTACTTGTCCAGGACAACCCAGTTGGCCTCGTTCTGCCTTGCTTTAGCTCTCACAACACTCCCAAGTGTACTTGACACCACCTTAATGCTCACTCCAACCTATAATCAATAAAACAACATTAGGTACCTTGATGAGTTTATGCATAAAACTATAATGTATCACCAATACATGGGGTTTAATGCTGCTTTATCCTCAAAAGAGTTAAATCTCTCAACAAAGTATGTATGTGAAGATAAATCCGATAAACAAACCAGCCCTTGTAAATAATAATATATATTGGCACCATATGTTTTTTTCATAAAACACTTGTTTATAAATCATACACATTGTTTATATATATATATATATATATATATATATATATGCAAGTTAAACCGTACTTACCATACACTGCATGTAAGAAATAAAATGGTTTGTTCTCTGCTGCATTGACTTGCATACAAAAAAAAAACCATACGGAGGCTCCATCGGAACTACGTCTCTTATATTCCAACAAATCTATAATGGCATTTCATTACATTGTGGAAAACAACAATAGTAAGAGAAGACAGATAGTCTGATAAAGAAATTGACATCAATGTTATCCTAACAATAATAAATCTAATAAAGAAATCAACTTCAAAAAGAAATAGCAAGGCAAATACCCCTCTAATCCTCACAAAAAAATCCCACAACCAAGCTGTCACCATTGATTCAAGTGGATGGCAAATATCCAATTATCAAATATAACACCAATGCTCCTTCCATGAAGATTGAGAAGCAGCTTTTTTGGTAATGGCAATAAGTAGTCAAGCACTATGCAATAAACCAAAAAAATAAAAAAAAAGGAAATTCACAATTTTACCAACAATAGTTATAAAAAATTAAAGCAAGCTCTGATTTTCTTATAGGATGGTCGCATTTTTTTAAAAAAAAAACCAAGAAACTTATCCAGAGTGTTTATGAAAAGTTAGCACACCCAGACAGATAGGCAGAGGCGCAGAGCAACAGTTAATTAATTACCACAAAATCACTCTTCAAAAATCATTAATATAACAATAAAAATGCAGTTGCTTGAAGAAGAGATGAAATTCATGAAAACACTATGATCCCCAATATATACAAAATTATGTAAATGTTAAATAAGCAACATACCCACATATAAGAACCCTCTTGAGAGCCACCCAAAATCGAAATCCCATATGGCTCAGACTTCAGGCTGCTTCTATCGGAAAAGATCCCTTCCCTTTCAAACAGGAAATTCATTACAAAAGTAATTATTCAATATCATATGATAAAGCATGTGAACGTGGACAGAGTATTAATTAATAGATAGTAATTGTTCAACATAATTGTAAACATAAATATACTTACTGCTTGTAGAATCCTTTAAGATGTATAGCCTTCTAATGACCTCAAGCCAGCAGTAGCCTATAATGCATAAAACATATCATGTCATTTCAACTATGCATCTTATTTTACAATTTAAATGATGCTTGTAAATAACATTTTCATTGATTTTAAACTTCACAAAAAAAAAAAAAAAAAAAAAAAAAAAATCTTTCATATTTTTAAATTTAATCTTATTTCATTTTAAGTGTATCGAGTTGAGAGTCTTATTTCTTAACTTGAAAATCCAAATTTAGATAAATGGGATATGAAAAATTTCATCTAATATTTTACAAAATCATTGAGTTTGCAAGATCGGATGATCTACGGCCTGCCCCACCAAATTTTGTTTTTTTCAAAAAAACTACTAAAAGCAAATTAACGTCATATTCATATTTCGATAAAAGAAGCACTGATGAATGAAATTAAAGTGAAACTGAAGTTAAAGAGTATTTTTTTTATAAATTTGTCAGTTAGAAAGTCTCAACTCATTTCATTCTAATAAAAGATGTCATAAGCGATCAATTTGAAAGGCATCCATGCTCCAGCTTAAGGTACATTATATGAATATGAATTACCAAGCACTGCAAATATAAAAAACCTTAGTTGTCCGACTGTGAAAAATTAAACAAAGAAAGAATATCTCTCATTCAAAGTTAACCAGCCTTCTCTAATATTTGTTTTGCTCTGAAACACAGCATGCATTTTTTTTTTTTTTTTGTTTCATTTTGTTTTTGAACAATAGCACTTGCTAGATAACATCAACATTTATTAAATTTTTTTTTTGAAGTATATGTTGGTAAATATTGCACATGCAAATGGAAAGAAAACGCAGGCAATTACCATGTACCTCATCTCCAGAGGATTCACTATTGCTAGCTTCCGACTCTCCTACTGATTTATAATTCTCAGAATCATCATCCTCAGAAAATTCCTACCATAAAAAAGTAACTCAAAACTCATTAAAGTTATACAGAACACACAGTAAGCATCCAATAACAAATAGTCAAACAAACACAACACTAACAACTCAAAAAACCAAAATAGCCATAACCCATAAAGTATTTAACACAAAATAGCCACTCCAGCATGGAGGTAATAGCTATAAAAGCACAAAAATCGAAGTTTATATGAGCACAAATTGTGTTTATTTCAGCGGAAGGTAGAAATATTTCAAGCTTTCCATCAAAACCTAAAAGAGAAAGAATACAAAAAAGTGAAACGATGCACACCTTGTAATCAGTTGCTGTGTCTTCTTGTTTTTGATGGAGTAGAGATTCTTCTGTATTGAGCTTCTTTTTCTTGGTGGGTTTGGTTTTTTTACTGGTCTTCTTCTTTTTCTCCACTTCAAACTATTCTTTCTTCCTCGCCCCCATTATCTCTCCTTCCTCTCTCTAAAAGTCTCTTTTCTCTCTCTAGAAACTAAAGCTGAAAACTTTCAAGGAAGAGAAGGCTGCCTGCAGCGAAAAAATGGATTCCCAAGTTTAGGGTTTCAGGGTTTTAAAGGGAAGGCATAAAGTACCGGGCCGGGCTACTAACCAATGTCCGAGAATGATTATTTGAAGTTCTCACTTGTTGAAAAAAAAAAAAAAAAAGAAACTACCATGAGAGGAGTCATCGAATCAGGTAGGGAAAGAAAGGTACCGGGGGTGAGGGGTGATGATGGAAGGATGTGAGATCTCAAGTTTTCTCCTCCAGCTTCCTCTGCAACTGTCATAGCTTTCCAGATCTATTTTCACCGCTCACCTTGACTCTCTCTCTCTACCCTCTCTCTATCTCACAGAGAGTGCGTTTTAATATGTTAGATATAAGATTAGATTTTAAGAGATAAGGTTGAACACGTGGCATTTAGTTATTGGTGATATCTAATAAAAGAAATCAAACGGACCAAGATCAAACGGCTGAAGAGACAGCACACTGTCGATGATCTTAAAACCATGTTTGATCGGACGATTTCAAAGCAATTAAGTTAGATCGGATGGCTGAAACAAAAAAATATAAAACAATTGTTTTTGTACAGTAAAGAACTGAAACGAAAAAACAAATCAGAGAAATCAATAAACAAAGCTGAGAAAATGATGAACAGGTGAACTGAGTGCGCAGCTACAGTTACAGTAAATGAATGAATAGTGAACACCTCATCTCTTTTCGTTTTTTTTTTTTTTTTGTAATTGTAATATTATAGGACATTAGTTCAGATGCGAATCAATTTATATAATTTTTTAAAAATAAAATCAAGTGACGATAAGTTTTTTATATGGATTAAATTTAAAAAATATCTTAAAGTTAAAGACTAAAAAAAGAAAGTCGTTTATTTTTCCGCGTAGAAATGTACGGTCAGATGGCACGGAAAAGCGCCCTTGGTGGACAAAAAGAAACCAGCACAGCAAAAGGACTTCTATTCTTTCTTTCTTTCTTTCAACCCTCCTCCTTAAAATAAAATGAGGAAGTGAGAGACAGATAAAGGAGAAGAGAGAGATCAGCTTTAGAAATTGCTGTCTGCGAGCAAGAAGGAAGGTCAGTCAGTTCAACTTTCATCTTTCTACTGTCTCTACACTTGATGTTTCTATTTCTGTCTTAGACTGCCTCACTTTTCTTTTACTGCTTTTAGATCTTGCTCATCTTTTTTTAGATGTAAATGAAGCCCTTATATATATATATATATATATATATATATATTTAGTATTGTATGCTTATTTTTAGTTTGCTTTTCCATGATTATGCCAAATCTTTAGAACACCATTTGTCTTCTGTTCATATTTTTCTATGTTACTGTTGTGTGTTTGTGATTCTTTCTCTCCTTTTTAGCTTTTTTTTTTGTGTGAATGGTAGATTAATAGTGCTGAATGAACTGGGTTTTTTATTGTCTTTCTTTGTTCTTGCTGTTTGTAAAATTTGGAAGTTGGGTTTTAACATTGTTGATTCTTAAGCTTATGCAATTGCTTTTCTTTTCTTGAATCAGTTAATGATTTTGCATTCCTTTGATCGACCACGCTTGGCTTCCTTTTTCAGCTTTGCTTCTTATCTCCTTACCATTTAGCATTGGATGCAAAAGTATTTGGATTTTGGTTTGGAAAACTAATCAATGTTTGGGTTTCCAGGCAAGATTAGAGAGTAGCATGTATTACTCTGCCTTTACTCAGAGTTTGGAAGGCGACTATTAAGAGGGGTGATTACAGGTTTGGGGTTCAGTTCTGGTTGTTGACCAAAAAAAGTGATTGGTTGGGAGTTTGTGATTGTTGTTCTTTGGGAATTTTCTAGCTATGGGGGAGTATGAGACTGCAATTCCTGAATTAGAAGGAGAAGAAAACTTAATTGCAGCTGCAAAACAAATTGTGAGGGCATTAGGGTCGAAAAAGAACCTTACAGATGATGCCAAGAAAATCTTGGCGGACCTTGGTGCCCAAATGACTACCATAACCACCATCAGTGAAAACGGTGTAGACGAAATAAGTGATGATGAAGGCAGGCTAAGTGTTATTCAGGAAAAGATTATGATTTGGGAGACAGATCAATCTATGATCTGGGACTTAGGTCTTGATGAAGCTACAGAGTACATAAATGCTGCTGATGAAGCTCGTAAATTGACAGAAAGGCTGGAGACTATGTGTTTGAAAGATGATGGAGAAAAGGAGCTGTTACGGAGGGCGCATGATGTTCTTCAAATTGCAATGGCAAGGCTCGAGGAAGAGTTCAAGCATATGCTCATTCAAAACAGGCAACCACTTGAGCCAGAACATTTGTCTTTTCGTTCTAGTGAAGAGGATGCTGGCTCAGTAATCTCTCTTGGGGATGACTCATTTGAGGAATCTCTGCGTAGAGATAGTGTTAGCAGAACTTCAGAGGAATATATTGTTGATTTAATTCATCCTAATGTGATTCCTGAGCTCAGATGTATTGCAAATCTGATGTTCATTTCTGGTTATGGTCATGAATGTTCCCAAGCATATGTTAGTGTTCGACGGGATGCCTTGGATGAGTTCCTCTTTATTCTTGAAATGGAGAAACTGAGCATTGAAGATGTGCTGAGATTGGAGTGGGGCACCTTAAATTCCAAGATCAGGAGATGGGTTCGTACTATGAAGATCTTTGTGCGGGTGTATCTTGCTAGTGAGAAATTGCTCTCTGAACAGATTTTTGGGGAGCAAGAAACAGTTAATTTGGTTTCTTTTGCTGATGCTTCAAAGGCTTCAATGTTGCAACTATTGAATTTTGGTGAAGCCATATCTATTGGTCCCCACAAACCGGAAAAGCTTTTTCCTATTCTTAGCATGTATGAGGTCTTAGCAGATCTTCTTCCTGATATAGATTCATTATATGCAGATGAGGCTGGTGCTTGTGTTAGAATTGACTGTCGTGAAGTCCTAAGGAGATTGGGTGACTCCGTAAGGGCAGCATTTCACGAATTTGAAAATGCTATTGCAACAAGCATCTCAGCAAATTCTTTTGCAGGAGGTGGAATTCATCCTCTCACAAAGTATGTCATGAATTACATCAATGCTCTCACTGGCTACCGGGGGACCCTCAATATTCTCCTCAAGGACCTTGATGGAGAGGATCCTATGTCATTTTCCCCTGACATGAGTCCATCTACAGAAGAAGAGAGCACCAGGGAAGGTGCATGCGATGGTTCACCATTGGCTCTCCATTTCCGATCAGTTGCTTCAATTCTAGAATGCAATCTTGATGACAAGGCCAAGTTATACAGAGATGCTTCTTTGCAGCACATATTCTTGATGAACAACATACATTACATGGCTCAAAAAGTTAAGAATTCTGATCTTCGCATTATATTTGGAGATGAGTGGATTCGAAAGCACAACTGGAAATTCCAACAGCATGAGATAAACTATGAAAGAGCTACTTGGAGTTCCATCCTCGCTATACTGAAGGATGAGGGGAACTCCAATTCATCAAAAACTCTACTCAAAGAAAGGTTTCGGAACTTTTATCTCGCTTTTGAAGAGGTTTACAGGACCCAGACAGCATGGTCTATCCCTAATACTCAGCTTCGAGAGGATTTACAGATCTCAACATCCCTCAAGGTGATTCAGGCTTACCGGACATTTGTTGGAAGGCATACCAATCATATAAGTGACAAGCACATTAAGTACAGTGCTGATGATTTACAGAATTACTTGCTGGATCTCTTTGAAGGGTCTCAAAGATCATTGCATAATCCCCACAGGAGATGATAAGAGTAATAGATACCTTGTAATTTTTTAAAACCTGAGGTTAGGCTTCTAATTTTATGCCCCCTCTGCAATTGTAATTTATTTTTTCCCAGCTCTTTTAACCTGTACTTGATCGATAAACAGGTGGCCTAAGTCGTATCATCACCAGCCAAAATGTCAGAAAATTCTCAGTTGGTTCCACAATCTGTAATCTGCGTGAGTGGGAAAGGGAAAAAAAAAAAAAACCCCATCCTGTATTATTGCTCTCGTCTGATAGCATAAATTGATAAGGTTGTAATTTCTTGCAGATCTTATTGGCTTTTGGTTTCGTTTTTGTCTGTTGACAGGTTTAATTTCCAGTGTATGTCATGTTGATTTCTTTTTGATGATTAAATTGAGTGAATTATAAATTAATCCCTCTCGTTTTTAGAAATAAATTAATTAATTCCTCTTATTTCAAAAAACTAATTATTTAGTTTTCATATTTTGAAATCTATTTGTAATTTTGTTTTTTTTTTTTATAGAAATAAAAAGAGAAAAAAAATATATGGAAAGATCGATGAGAAAACAAGAGATGTTATAGAATAAGAATAATATTAAATTAAATATAATTAATATTAATTAACAGATTAAATAATGATTTTTGAAACTAATTAATTTATTTTTTAAAACTAGAGTGATTAATTTATAATTTACTCCGATTAAATTCCATGGTAAAATTTCTTAATTTTCTTAAGAAATGTCAAGGTAGAATTTGTCAGAAAACTATTCTGGAACTACGGTACCACAAGAAGGCTTTCATTAATCGGGCGGCAATTGGGCCCACAATCCTTGCATGTTTCTGCAGCAGTTGCCAGGTAACAGGCTGGAACTTGGGAGGGAGGAGTGAGAGCGATTGCATGCAGCCCCATGTTCTGAAGCTTAAAGACACATGATCCTTTATACAGTTTAAAGGCAATCTGTTCTAATATGGTGTCCTTCATATTGGGGCAAATAGGCTCCTTAAAATTAAGGCCAAGTTGAGATATGAGAATTAGGTGTATTAATTTATCAAATGGTTTTGTTTGTAAGCAAAAATGATGTCCTAGCTAGATAGGGAAGGTGGCAACAAGAAGAGCAAGGTCAAGTTGGGAATGTGGGTGTTAAATGCAATGAACATGTTCAAAGAAATTTCTGACAGAAAATATAATTACAGGACAGAGCCTGTTATTGTCCAAGTTACATGAAACTTTCCAAGTGAAAGAGACCTGACCATGGGCAACTTGTAAAATGAAAATTGTATTTATGAAAAACAAATGTCTTCTGATACATTGCAAGAAAATGAACTTGGAGCTTCAGCCAGGGCTTGCTCCTCACGGAGATAATGTATGTGGCCCACGAAGAAGACCTACTCCAATCAAGATATTGAGAAGTCAGTTTCAAATACTTTTTTGCCTGTGAAATGCTAGTCTTTTTTTGGGTACTTCAGCTGTACAGGCGATGTACCTGGCACTTTCCAACCTAATCATAATATATAACAAGTCTGTGAATGTCAACCAAAGCAACAGTGGTGGATAGAAAATTCAGAAATGATCTGTATTGATTTTTTATTAGATTTTTCTAAAATGTGTCTTGTTAAATATATAAAAATTTTCAGCCAAAAAAAAAAAAAAAAAATCAAAAGCTAGTCTAATCATATTGAAAACCAAAATAGCATCTCTATTTTGGATATCTCTATTGAATTCTCTAAATTTTTTTTTTCTCTGAAATTTACTTTAAGACGTACGTCGGATGATACTCTATGTTTTTAAATAAATAATCACTCTTAAATAATCACAAAAATAAAATCAGAATAATCTATCTTTTAATACGTGACTTAAGGACGCACTTTGAACAGGTTTATTTTTTATGTATATACATACCTACATATTTGTTATATATATATATATATATATATATATATATATATAAAGAAAGAAAGAAAGAAAGAGAAAAATCAACTGAATTAATAGACGAAGAAATTGTCCAACAACGATCCAGTGGAAGAGGCCTCGATCAGTTAAAAAAAAAAAAAAAAAAGAAGAAGAAGAAGCCTAAATTAGCTTTTGTGTTTATGATAGAAAGTCATCTGATTCTGATACCTTTATTCCAAAGAATTTATATCATTAAATTCACCGGCAACCATTTTCGCCGGCGGCAGATGGAAGGAAATCCGCACCACATTGGTTAAAAATACCATTCAATGAAAGACTTCATCCCAAAGAATTATAGACATTTAATTTATACAATTTCATTGCCAAAAAATTAAGAGATATTTGGATTTGAAGATTTTAGATCTAAAAAGTATAAAGTTAAATTTTCGGTTGAATAGTTGTTGGAAAATGATTTTTAAGCTTAGATTTGAGCTTAAGAGTTTAGGGGCATTTGGGGAGTGGGTAGAGGCTTGAGCTTGGGCTTCGATCGAACTACGCATGTTCTATCTCTTGAGCTTGGGCCAGAGGCTTGAGGGGCCCTATGCCCAGGACAGTAATTTCGTATCCCTTGTTTTCTTTTCCTTTTTAAAGTTTTTTGTAGAATTTAGTTAGAATGAACTGGACACTACAATAAGTGGGTTGCTTTTGAATCTGAAAAAATAGTAATTGTAAAATGTTTTGTTCATAACCCGTGTAACTAGAAATGCATAATGGATTGAAAAATCTTACTTTGTATCTGCTTACTCTAATCCTTGCTCCCTTAATTTATTATCTCGTGCATAATTATTTTAAGTTCATCATTTTTTTATACATATTGCCTTTATCTTGTACATTGTTTTGCCTTTAATTTTTTTTGCCATAGTTTTTATATTTCTCCATAAAAAGTTTATTTATCCTATCAAGATTTTTTTTTCCTAATTTATGCACCCATAGCTTTTTACGTAATTAATCTATTAGGATTTAAACTCGTGATCTCTTATTGTAAGAGATCATTGCAACTAGACTATAAGCTCTTTGGTATCCTATCAAGATCTATTCACCCCGTTTCTAGACCTAGCTCTTTGATCCTTCAATTTGTATTAGTAGCATTGTGAATTGAAAGAAAAAACTGCAAAATAGATTAGAAAATTGAAAAATGGGTAACATTTTATCTTACGTTTTTTGTTTTTTCTCCTTTTATTCTTTGATACCCTTCTTATAAATACATAAAATATACCATATATCTTATTCTATCATTTCAATAGCATTAATATTAAATTTTTATTAATTAAAAAATAATAATGTATCTTATATAAAAATAAAAACTAATCTAAGATGGATATCGTTATTAATAGTAGATTTGAATAAAATAGATATTAATAACTATGTCATAGCTTTCAAGGTAGGTTTTAAGACTAAAATAGACAATAAAAAAATGGTGTGATAATTTTTATTGAATGACCATAAGGTTTTGCATAATTTTTTTTTTTTAATAAAAGCCATGATTAAATTTTAAAATACCAAGATAAAATTAAACTAGTTTAAGAAAAAGAAACATGTATATCTGAAATATAATAACTTACATAAAATAACTAAAACTGAAAATTAAAAATCATTAAAAAAACTTATTTTTAAAAAGAAAATAGAAATAGAAATAAATCTAAAATAAATTAAAAATAATATTAGAAAATTATATGAATTGAGAATAACTTCAAAATAAAAATATCTAATACTTATTAGAAAATCAGAAAAATAATAATAATTAAAATCATATTCGAATCACCACAAAACCAAACCGTTCTTATATCCACATGATGATCAAAACAGTCCACGATTAATCTTAAACATCTATCCAAATTTCAAAAATATCACTTCAAATCAACCTATATCATAAAAGATAAGCATAAAATGGCACATACAATGATCAATTTTACTTTAGAAACGTAAATACTTGTATTAAGTGGTTATATAAAGCAATTAAAAAATTTGAGGACCATAATGAGCATTATGGTAAAATAAAAGACTAGAAAATTCAAGGACCAAATTGCATTTTATTTGTTTCTTGTTGAATAATGGAAATACCACCAGATTCCGACCAAATACAGTCAGCCACCCTTAAAAATCCATATTTCTCTAAGTTTTTCGCCAAAAAATACATCCACACATTTATGAAACCTTTTAAACTCAAATCAAATCCCAAAAATCATTTTTAAACAACTATTTTAGACTTAATTCAAATTTATATATATATTTTTTAATTTAAACTTTAAAACTTTACATCTCTTAATTTAGTGACGAAATAGTCTAACTTATATGTCTATAAATATTTTTGTGAGAAGCATTTTCGTTTAACTATATTTTTTATTAATGTGAAAGTCAAAATCACCAACTATAGCTGTATTTCGCTTACAATTTTATCTTTTTTTTTTTTTTGGACTAATTGGTTTGATAGTATCCTGTACTATCGGTAAAACATTGCTTGGTATCCCAATTTTAATTTTTTCAATTCAAATATCATAACTTTTTTTTTTTTTTTTTATAATCAAGTCGGCTGATCCTATTTATCAAATCTCAGATATGTTTTTCGCACGCTATGTTGACATGGCCTAATAATTAAATGACACATTGATAATTTATCAATGATGTCCTTCTTTCTGGATTAACATGACTCTTAGAGAGTAGAAAATACCTCCCACCTCTAAATTAAAACAAAATATGAGATTTTTTGGTTTGATTAATTACTTTTTATCTTTTCTTACCCCTTCTTTTCTTTACGATTTGGCTTAGCCGGCTAGGAATATTTCTTGTTAAGATTATTTGTGTAATACCTCATCCCATTACATAGGAAAAAGTAGAAGGGTGAAAGAAGGGAAATAATGGGTTATTAATTTAATTGTTTATTATGTGTGGGAATGGAGCTGTTGTTGTGGGTTTGTTTTGGGAGAGAAGGTTGTTGTTAGAGGTTTGGGGTTAACGATGGGTTGAGGTGTGGCTGTGGGAGAGACAGCAATAGCAATGGTTAGTGCCCATGGATGTGATGGTAGAAGGGCGTTCGGGTAAAGGAGAAGAAGGAAACTAGTCGAGCTCGTT